TGTCGAGCATTTTTGACATCATAATCATGCCCCAGATGCTGAAACATATTCAAGTATGTACTGTAGCTGAGGCCAAGAGAGTTTTAGGTGTCAGTTGTCAGTGGAGCGTAAGTCTTCCAGAGCTGCGTGCCTTTATTGGTCTACTTTACATCAGAGGTTTCATGGGTCTGAAGAACACGCCGTTGAATATGATGTGGTGCGATAGATATGGACTGCCAATTTTCAGGGAGACAACTGGCAAGAACAGCTTCAAAGAAATAATGAGGTTCCTCCGTTTTGACATGCGAACTACCAGATGTGAAAGACTGCTAACTGATAAGTGTGCTTTGGTATCTGAATTGTGGAATGCATTCATTCGCAACTCTCAACAATGCTATGTGCCTGCGCAGAATCTCACAGTTGATGAGCAATTGTTTCCCTCCAAAACCCGTTGTCGTTTTCTCCAGTACATGCCCAACAAACCAGATAAGTTCGGTATCAAGTTTTGGATGCTGGCAGAAGTAGACAGCAAGTATCTCGTTAATGGATTTCCATATCTCGAGAAGGACGAAACTCGGTCAAGAGGAGAAATTCTTGCAGAGAGCGTGGTATTACGCTTGGTGTCACCATTATTTGGAAAGGGGTAAAATGTCACATGTGACAACGTCTTTACATCGGCAGCATTAGGAGAAATGCTGGCCAAGGAAAACACAAGTATGGTGGGAACCCTTCGAGCTAATAGAAAGGAAGTACCATCGATTTTGAAGCAAAGAAATAGAGAGCTGTTCAGTTCACTTATGATGAGGAATGAAAATAAGCACACATTAACATCCTACCAGTGTAGAAGGAATAAGAGTGCTTTGGTTTTCAGTTCCCTGCATAGTAACTCTTCCATTCAAGACTCTGGAAAGAAGAAACCCGAGACTGTGTTGTTTTACAACTCCACAAAGTATGGTGTGGATGTACTCGACCAAATGACAAGAGCACTCACTGTGAAGTCATCATCTCGACGATGGCCAGTCCAAGTCTTTTTCAACGTACTGGATTTGGCTGACATAAATTCCTGGATAATTTATAACAGTGTTTGCGGAACTAAAATATCTCGCCGGTCGTATCTGGTGGGTCTTTCGGAAGAACTGCTTACATGTATACATCACACAAGGTACGTGACAACGGGAATTACGACGAACAACTCAGCGGAGTCGGGAAGTCGTGTGAACATTAAACGTCGGCAGTGTCAGATTGGTTACCGTAAAGGTAACGAATCACAAAACAAGTGCTCTGTTTGTGAAAATATAGTTTGCGGCTCATGTGGACAGATTGAGCGAGTTATCACCTGCTTCAAGTGCAAATTGGAGTAGGTATGCGGAATTGTTTACAATTTTTGAAAAAAACTAAACCTTAATACAATCATTTTTCTGTTACAGGTATGTTCATTACATTCGTTTTTAATAAATGCCGTGAAAAAATTCTTAACTGAAAGTTGGGATAAAAAAATATAGCAGTGCGGTCATTTTGACCGGTCCCGGGCGTTCTAGGTATAACGGCGGAGCGGTCTTTCTAGTGTTAAGTAGCGATTCAATTGCACTATGGATACAAGTAATCGGGATAAGGTATAGACGGGGGCACACACGCATGCGCACAGCTGTGCACCTTTCGTAGCATGCACAGTCTGCAGGGGTCTACTTGATTGCGCACCGGGACATGCGCGGCGCACCAAGTGCAGCTGCCCTCTCAATCCCAAATCGCCAGTAACCTTTATGCGAACCGTGTAGGAATTGATTGACTCTGCGTAAGCTGTAACGCATCATGGCATGAGGTCCACTCGATCCATGGGGCGCATATTGCGTCGTTCAGGCATGCGTAAGAGATTAGGGGGCGGCAGCGATTACAACAATCGTGCACTGTGCGAGTACAAAGCGTCATCTAATCATGGGATAGTTAATTGAGGGTTCCTCGCAGCCAGTTCCAAATCAGATAGTCGTCCACGTGTCTGGAAAAGCACTAGACTGGCTGCGACGAGTCCTGTTAACTGTAGCAAAATCCCCCTATTCATGATTAGTCTTGGGATAGCCGAGTGTATCCAGAGCTATGGTGTTCCCTCCGGTTTTCGCACGAAGTGTCAGCTACCCAACACTTGTTTCCACCGGTTTGCATTCAGCTTCGGATCGATTCCACCGTCACTGAAACATGGAGGACTGTCCCCCTGAAACGAGTGGAAAGCGGTAGGCTAAGTGTGATTTACTCGTTAGCAGATGTAGAATATGCGGTCACAGTTTATAAATATTATGTGTATTTCTTGGATTGCGAGAGGCTGTTCCTTTAACATAGATTGATCACTAGTGCATTTATGAGGAGGCTCATGCATGAGTAAGATATGCATTCGGCAGTGTCCATGTTGTAAAACTAATTTAAAATGAAAAGATGCTAATATGCTCATACAAAGGTTAATGGCCGCAAAATTTCCTTTGGTTGTGCTCACTCATTGACAACTTTTTCAACGTATCGTTTTGATAGCCCCATTTGCCGTTTACCGGCATTGTTCCTGTGTGCGGATCAGAGTTCTGCTCTGAAGATAGTGCTGTCACTTTCCTGTTTTGGTGTATATCCACTTGGCCCCTTATTTGCTCAACTCTTATTTGCATTACCTGGTCGTACGATTCCAGTACTGTGGTTATTTTTACAGCTAACCACCACTCTATGTCGCCTCGTTCTCCCTCTGAAGAAACCCGAATCCTGTTTGTGATCTCACTGCAGTTAGAGTGAAAACACTCGCGGGGTCCGACACAACAAGTTTAACTCTCTTATAGCCCTATATTTTCTTAGAAATAAGGCAACATTGGGTTGGTATGGCTCTTCTGTAATGCATTATTCTCAGTTTTGCCTTGACTTTCCTGTGGTTGGATAGATTTACTAGCAGACGCGTTTGCTTCACAAGCGTCCAGTACTTCGTTGACAGTAAGTCCGTCTGCCTTGGGCGTCACGGTGTTCTTGATGTGGTGTGGCTTCAGTCGATTTGCATGGCAGGTCAACAGCCGCTTAACAAAGCGGGTATCACAGGTTACGTTGCTTAGGTAGTTCACAAATAACACAGGTACCTAGTCACGTCCGTACTTCTGAAGAGAAGCGGCATTAAGTATTTGAAAGCTTCCGAAGTCCCCAACCGGGCCCTCAACCGCCGGTTGCATTGGGTTTCTGCAGTAGAATTCGTGGTGTTTCGGTGGAAATTGAAGACCGACAAGCCCAGCGTCGTTCTCAGTCTTCGGCCCATGCAAAATTCAGTGGATGACACATTACCTAAGATTTTATAAATCGGTGTACCTCAATATATCCATGGGACACCTTGCAATTTTTCTTTCAATGCTTTTTACTTGCTGGCTAATCCCTCCACCGTTCCATTAGATTGTTGGTGATACGGCGCAGTACACATGTAACCGCTTTCATTGTGTACACAGAAATCAACTTTTTAATAAGACGTAAACTGCCATCCGTTATACGATGTTATCGTTGTTGATATTCGGCTTCACTGGGGCTATCAACCACGTGCTCTGTTCATCGAGAAATGCAAGGAACAAAACTCCATCAATCGGCTCTAAAAAAAATCCACATAAGTCAGCGACAACGACGGTCCTGTTCAAGTCGACCGTAGTGCCGTCTTCAACGGTAACTTATAAGCCCGTGGTCATTGAGGAGAAGTACGATCAATAACCTCTTTAGCAATAAAGGTAGCCCCACACGAGTGTTTACAAACTTACAATTCGTACATGACTGGGTGTGTAGTTGCCTTAAGTCGTATTGCCATAAGACTGCGGGAATTCCGATGTCGCCACCAAAGAATGGACAGGAGACAATTTCGGACAAAAACCATGCAATGTGTAGGTTCTTTATTTGTATATTTCGACAAAATCTTTTGTATCAGTTGGACATGTTTGCTGATGTTTCAGCTGAACAACTTGGCTTCGGAAGCCGGGAATATATGGTTTGTTCCACTTGTAAGTGTAACAATGTTTATTAGTATGAGAGAGAAGAATTAAACGACTTTTGCCACAGGTGACGTCCATAAGTAACAAAACTGCGCAATGAATTGTAGACATTCAAAGAAACGTGCTCGGCAGTGCTTGGCCTACAGTCAACGATTCTTCGTCTTTTCCCGGCACCAGTGTTTGAGGACCTCGGATCGACGTACACGTCGTTCTGGCTGCAATTTAAACTCCAAAGCAATTCCTTTACTGATATACCAGCTAGCGTTATGCATATTCACCATAACTGTACTTTTACTTGTTATGATGGAAATTTCTAATTTGCCGATTGTAAAGGTTTATCATACTTTCACGGGCCTGTATCCATCAGTATGTATCTGGATGCGAGTCCGCAGTATAGAGTAAAAAGTGCTTCACATGGGTTCAGCTTCACTGCGATCCCCTAAGTAACCCGTCAAACGGCTCTTTGTTTCGCAGTTGCTCACCTCTTAGTTAACTTCTCGACGTTTGACGTGACTGGAGCAAGCCTCTCCCTTGCTTCATCCTGCGCACACAATAGGCTAGGGTTCATCCTTGTTACCTTGCATGATGAAATTCCACGTCAGCTCCCGTGGCTATATCAGATCGTCTTGTAAAATGACATAGAATGCATGATAGGTTGCCCAGACTTATGTGGTCTGCGATCTTTGCTGGGATGCATTGCAATCGCGGTACTCCGCAGCAGAAGCACCTGGATGATGTACAAGAACCCGGGAGTGTTCGTACTAATAATGACGCAGCGTGCCTGTTCACACCGCTCGAAGCACACCAGTAGTCTACACTCCGATATGGCATATCTAACTCTTTGGAGGAGTACTTACACGAGAGTGTTATGAAGCAGTGAATGATAACTACCAACAAGGCGTCAGCTTTAAAACGTAAATGCATGCTAGAATAAATTTCGGGAACATTAATACGAGTGAGCTACAGGTAGTAAACAAATTCTTATTGCTTGGTAGTCCCAGTTTTTTCACCAGCTGGTTACCGATCAAAGTTGATACAATGAGACACGTTTTTTACGCCGTCAATGATCCCCTTCTACTTTCAGGGATCGAATTTGTCTCCGAACACGACTACCATGATGTCATTACAAAAATTTGGGTCTCTGAACACTACGCAGCCGCATGCGGACCAAGTGGGCAACTCATTTTGCACCTGGTGAGCTATTAGGTGCATTCTTCCCATCCTGCCGGGGTATCACGACTGAAAATCAGTGTGGCAACATCCTATTCAACAGTGCTTCGTTGTGAAAGATTTTTAATTCCAGTCAGTGTTCAGCTGCATCAACGCATTTGTTCAATTCTGCACTATAGTCGGGATCACCTAGCCTATCAGGTAGGAAGTAGCATTGCAATATCATTGCGTGGTACTTCCTGTGTACCCATCTCACAATATGGTCAGTTGTTGATGAGTTTTTCTACTGGCGCTGAGTTCCACGTGGGCCGATGCGTAGAAAGACCGAAAAGGCAATTCATCGAAATTAAATGCAACATGTTGATTGGAAGTAATGGCAAATCAAGTTGCTGTCACACACAACTTGCGACATTATGAAAAGGCTGTAAAAACCCGATTTTTGCTGCTAGGACCGATGAAGTTCAGTGACTTACTTTTTACCGCCAACTGCTTTTATCCACGTATGGTGCGCCAAAACTGTCACTTCTATTTGTGGCTATATACCGGTTTTGTCGAACAAGCACCTGACCACTGAAAATTTCTTTCTGAACCACGTCTACTGTGCATCACATGATCTACTTTAGTTGCCATGTTATGTTCTTGAAAAACCCCATATCAAGATCAGAAGTCAGTGTAAGCGAACATATGCTTCGATAATTCCTCTTCAGGTTTCTACAGTTACATCCAAATAAAAACAAAATGCGTAGGCAGACATTACCAGTCTTCAGTCCTGGAACGAATTAATTACTGACGGCGGAGTTGACAGTCGCTGTCCGTTAGGTTACGACGACTGACCTCAAGGGTCAGAAGTCGTCAGCCGTTTGGGCCAAAATAACCCCAACCTTCTTCTTCTGGATACACTGCTTCGATTCGTTCAGTCGAATCGCAATTGCCTCAGCTGCTTCTAGTATTCGTTTACGCACGTTGTTCGATCTGTTCGCTGGAGATAAACTTGTGAGATGCGTAATGTTGGATCCGCTTCCGGTATTTAGTGAATAAAAAAATAAGCTCATTCATTAAAATTCGGAACTTCGTCTTTGCTTCATATTAGCAGTCCGATCTCATGTTCTGTTGAAATTGCCATGCCGGCTCCTGCCCCTCTGTTTTGGTCAGAATAAGGGAGCGCATTTTAGATACATTATTCCCATTGGAAATAACTGTATAACCTTTTCTATGCGTGCATCATTGATTCTCAGCGAAAGCATTGACACTACGGTTAGTTTCTTTCCTTGTCCACTGTCACTTATCAGGTTGCAAGATAGGACTTACTTAAACAGGAAGCAGTCCTGATTCCCTCGTATGCTATCGATGTATTATAATCCATAACATCTCTTCACGGTTGCTTACTTTTGCGAGCTTTCCATTTTACGCATCATTAACATACTGGCTAAGGAAAACCACTCTCAGTACACTGAACGTGACAAGGTTGGCGTGCTCAGTACGAACAGCCGTGCTTTAGCAGTAGCACTGGAAACAGTGTGACTTGTTAGAAAACACCTGATGCCTATATATGGTTAGTGACATTCCGTTTCGGATTTGCCTGTCACTGTGGCCAGCCACAGGACGCCTGCGCTTACAGAGTGACTATGGGTGGCTTGCGCTGCACTACCCACAGCTCCAATCACGCACTCAATACCCAGTGTAAACCTGAAGGCATGTGGATGGGAACCACGTTTCATCAACGAAGCCGGCCCACACTCCTTCATAGGCAAACACAAGCACACTGTATTTGGGAATCAAGCGCACAAATGGCGATGGCTCGACTGTAGTCCACTTCACACTGAGTGCATGAAACTTCTCTTTGAGCCTAACACTGCTACAAGGACTGTGCACCTAGTCACCTCCAGCAACGACCAACTGTCTCTTAGAGCCCGTATGGACGAGGTAGTGGGTAATAGACAGGTAGGCACGTTGTCAAGATGCACAACAAGCGCAGCCACACCGAGGCCATCAGACAACAGCCAATCACTTGAAATGACATTATCAAATAAAATATATCTGTTAAAGTATATGGCTATGCCGACAACTCTTCGCTAAATTAGCATCTGAAATAAGTTGGTTAGCCACGAATCCCCGAGTAGCACAAGATGTCCAGTAGTTATCCAAAAATGCTACAAACATAATAAAGTTTATGAAGATAACCACAATAACGTAAGCCACGTGGCAAACTAATAGATTACTCAGGTAAGCATAACAAAGCAAATAAAGTAGGATGAAATTTAGCCAGCTTAAAAAGACCTAGTTTAAGTGTAAGTTGGTTTAGCCCGACTGCGGTAAAGTAACATGATAAATGCAACATCAGCCTCAGCATGGGGCATGATATATATATATATATATATATATATATATATATATGTGCCCCATGCTGAGGCTGATGTTGCATTCTTGATGCTTCTTCACCGCAGTCGGGCTAAACCAACTTACACTTAAACTAGGTCTCTTTAAGCTGCATAAATTTCATTCCAGTTTATTTGGTTAGTTTTGTCTATCTGAATAGTCTTCTATTTGCTGGCCCCGTCGCTTACGCTAACTGCGCTTATCTTCGGTAATGTTGTTGGGTTTGTAGCATTTTTGAGTAACTTGTGGACATTTTTTCCTTATCGCGGATTCATTGCTAGCCAACTTACTTCATATGCTAATTTAGCGAAGAGTTATGCCACCGTATCTATATGCATTATTGGATTTATTTTATTTTATTTGGTCGTTTCAAGTGATTGGCTGTTGCGTGATATCCCCGGTGTGGCTGCGCTTAATGTGCATGTTGACAAGGTGCCTACTCGTCTATTACCCACTACCTCGTCCATACTGGCTCCAGGAGACAGTTGGTCGTTGCTGGAGGGGACGGGGTGCACGGTTCTTGTGGCCGTGCTAGGCTCAAAGAGCGGTTCCATGCACTCAGTGTGGAGCGGACTACGGTCCAGCCACCGCCTTGTGTGCGCTTGATTCCCCAAATACAGTGTGCTTGTGTTTGCCTGTGAAGGAGTGTGGGCCGGCTCCGTTGATGAAACGTGGCTCCCATCCACATGCCTCCTGGTCTTATTCCTTCGGGTTTACACTGGATATGGGGTGTGTGGTTGGAGCTGTGGGTGGTGCAGCGCAAGCCACCCATGGTCCCTCTGTAGGCGCAGGCGTCCTCTGGCTTGCCACAGTGACAGGCAAATCCGAAACCGGATGCCGCCAACCATATATATATATATATATATATATATATATATATATATATATATATATATATATATATGCCCGACGTCCATCGATTATCGATAACACTAGAAGTGCATCTACTCACCTTGGGCTCAAAAGCAGCACTTTGTCAAAGATGTAATCGATAGCACCGCTTTTCCAAGTATGAGACCTAAGTTACCATCTTTAAAACTTGCTTTTACTTAACAGACTCTCTGGAACCCTGAGGTAATGGAATCAGGTCAATAACTTAACGTTTTGATTTTTTCTCCTAGCTGAGTAATTTAATGACAAACGCTTCACCACTTCCCTCAGTGGTATCTTCAGTGCAATGCTCCGTAGATGAAAATCTCACGGAGAAAGAATCGAAACGTTAACTACCAACCCGAGTTACTGGTATTCCGAATCATTGTCTACAAAGTTCTTTAAGCTTACTCTTTACGGTCGTGAAATTTTCCTCTACGGAGCAGTGCACTGAAGATGCCACTGAGGGAAGTGGTGAAACGTTTGTCATTAAATTACTCAGCTCGGAGGACAAATCAAAACCTTAACTACCAACCCGAGCTGCAGGTATTCCGAATCATTGCAAACAAGTCAGTAACTTGTTTCTTTGTTACTCACTTGTTATTGGGGATGACCGGTGTTCATCCTAACTATTGCTCCCAACGCAGTCTAAGTATAAGCAACCTTACATGTTCTGTTATCTCCATGTGAATGTGCACCGTTCGTTTGCGTATTCCTAAAGCTCATTGTAATGTCCGTTACATCTCGATTCCATCATTTCATTAAGTTTTTCTACTCACCTATTATTGTTTGTTGTAATTCTCTTGAACATTTTGCCTTCTACTAGGTTGATCCAGTCAGTCACTCGAGGAAGAGCAACTCAACTGTTGTTCGAGATCAGCGGGTCTTCCCAAGTGCGGGAGAAACAAATGAAAAAATTACTGGATTTCAGATAACAGGCAATTTTCTGATCTACGCGACTAATGTGAGTGTGATAGTAGCGCCACACATCACAAGCGCCAAAAGCGCCTGTGCTCAATACTCATGAAAGCGGTTACTGACTGTCGTGAAATTTAATTTACGCTCACCGCCTAGATGGTTACTCTGACATTGATGGGATCAACGAATGTCCAACCAATGAGTACATGTAACCTCACGAATAAGTCTAGAAGAAAAATTATTTAATCGTTCCACCCCAAAAGTCTACGTGTATGTTCCCTACGTTTAGGCGTCTTTAATGGGGACCGTGCGTCATGAGGAGACTAACATGTGATCCATAAGCTTCGGTTACACTTAAGGGGCCAATACTGACTTGACTTTTTCCCCCTCTTGCCTCATAAAGTGCATCAAAAATGGAACGAAGTGCTAATGATCATGACTCCGAATTGATAAGGTACGTGTATCATTTACACCTTGGCCGACCCCTAAACGATCGGCACCATCTGCAGCTTTGGCACAACATCCACCAACTAACTTTCAGTTACTGTGACAATGTCCTACTTGTACACTGACGCACAGACCTCTTCAAGTTTCAGGGCTATACGACATCATAATTATCATTGACAATTGGTTGAGCTGCAGAATTATTGACATCGAGATCATTCTACCCAGAGGGTTACTTCCCCGGAATGACAGAACCGGCATGACGGGAGGAGTAGCCACGTATTACTGAATCAACCTTCGTTGTGAACACACAGACGTTCCACAAACGTGTGTCATTGATTTCTTTTAGTGCACGCTATAGCTGAAGGACAACGATATATGTTTTCGTCCGTATTTTACCGACCTCCAAACGTACTTTGAAAACGGACCACAGGTTAATATCGGCTTTGCGTACTGCGGTGCACTGGAACTATATTCGGCTACTCACTACAGTCGATCCAAACATCTGAAAACTCCAGCAACCGAGAAGGAACATTGCAAAGCCTGTCTGCAAGAGCTAACCTGTAGTACATCCCTGCAAAATCACGTCATCGCTCCCACCAGGTTCAGAACAACGAATATGCCACAAATGTTAGATCTGGTTCTCACCGGCGAGTTGCTCAAGTTTGATGAGCTAAATGTGCGCAGTACTTTAAGTCGAAGCAATCACTTGACTTTACAGTTCGATTAGATTTTCTAATAATGAGTAGGAGGATATTAATCGTTATTTTTTATATATAATTGCTACTGTGAATACACCGGTGCTGAGCGCGAAAATACGCATCCTATTACAAATTATGAGGCACTGTCCGCATTTGTTAAAGCCACTAGTTGGACATTGCTGGCTGATTGCACCCAAGAGGTAACATGGAAAAGGTTCTTAAAAATTCCACTTCACTCGGCGCAAAAGCACCAGTGGTAAGCATTGGCATCGCCCCTTCTGACTAAGGTAGTTTTCGGGAGGCAGAGCACTAAAATATATGGTTCTAAGTGAATCGGACGTAGTGCGTTCACGGAATCAACCCCAGATCAGAAAGTTTGACAGCCTACGTGGCTCAACGAACTACTGTGTGTAGTTGGTGCATGATGACCACCTGACACACCAACAGGAGCTGAGGAAACCGTTCTGTTCTGATCATGTGTTTCTTAATAAACGTGCCAATAGACGTCTAAAGTTGAAGCGCGGACTCCCACCCCTCAATATTGTTGGTAGGTATGCAAACACAGAGAGAGAGGGACGAACATCGCACTAAGAGTCCAACACTCACCTACTTTCTGACGGATTCAAGTCTCGAACGCTGCTCTTACTTCCATCAATACACCATCACATTTGTTCAACGTCACATACATTGCAGAAACGGTGATAAACAAGCTGCTATTCGCACTTGCACACAGTTACACTGGATCGGCGAAGATTCGCCACAATGCAATGCACGTAGCTGCCATGCACCTAACAGGACCACTTGTAGGATTTCTCCAACGCTGTCTAGACGAGAATACAGTTCCATTGGAGTGAAAATGAGTTTCATCACCCGTATTCACGCAGCAGGATGTGGAGCTGTCTGCCAATTACCACTAAAGAACTCTTCTCCTTTTGCTCGCCACCGTCATTGAAACGGTCATTACATATTGATTGGCGAGCTACAAGTAAGGCATCATCAAGCAGGGGCAGCCCGGGTTTCTTCAAGCACGATCATGTGCCGCAAACCCACTGATAGCATGCGACAATTGCGCTGGAGACGTCGACCGTAGGAAAGTGATATGTCTTAGTCACGGTAAGTAAACATTAGAGAGCGCATACTGTTTTACTCGCGGCTATTGCTGCGTTGAGCATCAGAACAACGACTTTCACCACACCGGACAGTGCATTGACAAACGTTCAGGTCACATGAAACAGACACGACAGTCAACAATATAGATTAAGGTGATGATGTGTGTCGGACTAGCTGCGGCCCAATACCTACAAACGACAGCAGACCAACGAGTGCGTGAAGTTCATGGTCAGGTGTGTGGGTCGACATTGTACTTTTGAGGCACCGGATCGCCTGGTGTAACGCATCTTCCACAGGGCTCGTAACCCTTTGGTAAAGAAAACACACCAGAACTGAACGCGTTCTCGATGGCCTTTACTGGCATCACGAGGAGAGTCGTGTGTGTGTCCCTGTGCGCGTGCGTGCTTGTGTACATCTAAGCGTGGCATCCCTCAGCATGAGTGGCTCAGGGCTGGACCTTGGGTGAACATGCAAAAGTCATTAACCGCATGGATATCATCGCAGTAACGGCCAAAAAGAATCGAATCATTTATTCATTTTACACGTTAATTAGGGGTGGGGACACCCGAGCCATTGTGCCGCAATACAAAAGAATAAAAAATAATAAAGCGATACTACACAGACGCGCCAACTGAGCCACCAGTAACTGATGGACATCGATCAGAAGAGCTAGCAGCCGGCCGTTGTGCCACAGAAAAGTTATACTATGCTTCAGGATTGATCGCATGGTTGTTGGGAAGAATAATCGGGAGGGTATAGACAAAAGAACGAGGGATTGGTCAGGGAATACAAGTCAGTCGCTTCGGCAACATCTCGCTGGCTTGTCCATACTCTTCATCTTCAACCGCTGGTTCTTTGTCTGCGTGACACTTTGTCTGTCCCTCGTTTGGTGCATCTGATCACGATAGACGAACGTAACCTTAATGACGCCCAATAAGACGGCCGACTAGGAGCTGGACATCGCTTTAGATTTTCCAGCAACGGATTACGGTTCAGCTTGGCAGTGCCATTCTTGCAGTCGTTTGGTACATATCAAGCCATTTTCCCCGAAAATAACCTTCTTTTGCTCATTTAGAAACACCGACCTCTTCTGTTGCGCCTCCGTCCTGACGCATGAATTCGGAAACACTAGTTTCATTTTTGTCCTGAGATTCCTGAGGCTCTGCAGGAGACTTACCACTCCTCTCAGTTGAGGTGTGACGATAAGCAAATAGGAATCGATCCAGCTTTGTTCGTAGGGTCCGTACACACTGTTTCAATAGTCCTCGCTTCAATGTCTGCGCTGCTCCCGCGACCAACTCGGTTAACGCGGGATGTTAAGGAGCCGATTTTATATGGTGAATTCCGTTGTTGGTGACGAATCGGGTGAACTCGATGCTAACAAAAGGGGGACCATTGTCCCAGAATGCAGTCTCCGGAGTACTGAGTAAGCGAATACTGCGTGCATTTTAACAATGACAGTTTCGGACGTTGCTTGCACGACAGAATATACCGCAACTCACTTGCAGTGTCCATCGGTGAGTAAAAGAAACACGGTTCCATAAATCGTGCCAAAGTAGCCGGCATGGACTCGCTGCCACAGCTTGTCGGGCTAGCGCCGCGAATGTGCTTGACTGGGAGGTTAGCTGTATTGGTGTCCTTGACATGTATCAAAATTCTTCAGCATGTCTTTAATATCGGAATCAATTCTTGGCCACCAACATTTTCCATCCTCCGACACTTTTATTCTCGCCACACCTGGAGGTGCATCATGGAGCTCGTGAAGGATTGTACACGAAGCTCGCTACGGGGGAACAACCGGGATCTTCAAAATACAACCGGCGAATAAGTTTAGCTCAATTCTGTGTGCTATAAATGGCTGCAAATTGGCAGGTCCGTCTGTTAAGAACCGTTTGATCGTTGAAAGAACTGAGTCTTGATCTGTCCACTGACGGACTGTAGTTTCGTAGGGGTGCTGCATCTAGAAGTCGCATCAAGTGAACCGAATCACAAGAAGAATCAGGCTCATGTGACGTCCCTGCAACTGGTAGACGGCTCAAAGCATCATCTGCGTGATGGATGATACCAGAAAGGTAGGTACTTTGTAGTTGTATGTGCTCGACGTCAGATTCCATCTCTGAATTCTTGTTGAACCCGTCGGTTGTCAAATTTTGGTCTCTAATAACTATGATGTCAAAAACTTGTAGTGAGTGTGAAACTCAAAAATTTCCCCCAAATGTGGCGATGGAACCTTTTCATAGCGAGTATTACAGATAAGACTTCCTTGTGAAGCCGTACATAATATTTTTCCACTGGTTGCAGAGTTCACGATGCAAACGCTATGGGGCGTAAAGTGTGTTGATTCATGCGGTGTCACAGGACAGCCCCTACACCCTAAGGGAATGTCTCATATTGGGGAATGATAGTATTCACATGCTCATAATGAATTACTATTGGTCAGGGAGCGAATTCCTGTTTGGTTTTGCTTAAGGCACAAGTTTGCCGAGGACCTCAACACCGCGGTACCATTTTTTATGGGCTGACTCATTCAGAGAAGACAACATAGTGCATGCGTCAGATAAGAACTAGCAATTGTGAGATAGAATTTCAAAAAACAAACGGGGCTCGTCAATGTTTCTCGGTTCAAGACTTTCCAAAATGGGTTTTACCTTGTCATCCGGAGCATGTAAGCTGACCTTACTAAGCATATATTCAAGATACCACACAGGTGCTACAGTGCGCGTTAGGATATGTCCTGTGTCGGAGAGTCCAGGGATTAAAATCTCATTCAAATACGCACAAGCGAAAGGTA